TGTTTATCTATTTAAATACCTATCTGTTATACCTTGAAAACATATCTAACATGACTGCAAGTTTGATTATTACAGATTATTAACTACTAACTTGCATTTATTTATTATCCTAAATAGCTTTCAAGGACTAAAACTTTACATTACAATGTTAAATGAACTACATAGATACAATATCTTAAGAATAGAAACATATATACAGTATAACAATACAAAAATTCATACCTATGTAAAATATTTGAAACTAGTGGTTGTTCAAAAGTAGACTCAACAATACACCCTTTTACCCACCATTTTTATACTATATCCCCCCCTTTTTCTCTTCAGAAAGAGATCCCTGAATCTAATCTTTGTTCAGTTTTTTTTCTAATCATAACCAATAACAATTTGTAACCAACCCCCCTAAACAATGACAAACAACCATAACCGACCAAATGACCAAAACCCACCCCACCTCTTGGAAATGTGGGTGTCAAGTTCTCTAGACTGCTTTCTGCTTGTCAGGCACTAGCATCTTTGGGGGACCATGAGAAAATTAGAATAATGGTCAAGTCCTGGCTAGAAGAGTCTGTGAGACTGGACAACCTCAGCCAGCAGCCTTGAAGCTGTTCTGGATGCAGAACTCTGAGGAAACTGCAGCAGAGGCACTCTGAGAGGCTGGATCACCTGAGCCGTCCATTTTCCTTGGTGTCTAATCCCCTTGCTCTGAAAACACATAAACTTTCAAAGGTAACATATATATCTACATTAACACAAATATGGACTGTATGTGGTATCCAAGCCAGCCAAAGATGATTTTTCACTTTATGTTTGAACAAGTGAAATAGCCATCACCTGTCTTGTAGTTAATACAGGTTTATTTCTTTATGTTTTTAGCCATGATTTTCAGGGGGTCTCCCTTGATCAAGCCTGATCCTTTTTAACCTTAAACAAATCCACAGCCTTTTGGTTTTTGTGGAAATGAAGTCATAACCTCTTTTCTAAAGTGATACATTTTTTATTTCCTTTTTGAAGTTGAGACATGTTTAAAATATACAGGTTGGTTTAACTGAGCAGTTTCCATAATCCAGTGTCTCTCAGCAGCCGTTGTTCACTCATCAGTAATCAAAAACTTGAAAGTCAATACAACGCCATACAGGAGCCAGGCTTCCTGTGTATTTCCCACCTCTGTGTGGTTTATGTTTATTGCCTTACTTCTCTCTTTAAAGACTTTATTATTATTTTTAAACTATTTTTATGACTGTCCATATCCTCTTTTTTCTTAAGCCTATACATGCTGTTAAATACACTGTAACCTGTTTAGAGTCTTTTTATTTTTCCATCTGACCCTGCTTTACTCTATATCTGCAACCTTTTCTGTCTGCGTGAGCAAAATCTTAAAGCCACCATGCAGCTTAGCTCATGGTGTGCTAGCGGCTGGCTCTGCTCCCTCAGTTCCCTGAGAACCCAGCTTCATGGAGGAGGTACGTTTATCGCCCCAGCTCTGGAAAGTTCCTGGACCCAGGCTGCTGTCGGCATTTCTATCTAGTTTCTCCCCCCCCTCCCCGCCAAGTCGCCTGCTGCCCACTGCTCATAAGCCCCACCCAAGTGCTGGTGAGCAGGACCTCTTAAAAGAGCCATGCCTCTGTATGCCGCTAGCACTGAGCCTGTCTGAGAGGCTGTAGTCACCAGAAAGCCACATTTGGCTTTGTTTCTGTGTGTTTGGAATCTTTTTTAAAGTTTTCTTGGGTTTTATGTGGAAATATGTAGTTGAACATTGGATGCCATATGTCTTTTTTTTGTCTTGCTTGCCAGTTCCCAAATAACCATACAGAGACTTTTTATCAATTATGAAAGCTCAGCTGATAGCTTAGGCTTGTCTGTAATGAGCTTCTCTAACTTAAGTGAACCCATTTCCATTCATCTATGTACTGACACATGGCTCGTGACTGTCACGTCTCTACCTCGTCCAGCAAGGATGACGCAACACCCAGAGCTCTTCTTACTGCAGTTTATTCCAGGACCTTTTTAACATTTGTATCCTTCTTCCCCTCTCTCTTTGACCTCTCTCTCTACCCTCTCTCCCCGGGCAAACCTCTCCCAGCCCTTAAGTAGGCATGGGCTGCCAATCCCGGATTGCCAGGTGGGCACTGCCCATAGGTTCACGTATATGCAGGCAGTTGATAATCATTGTGTGATCATAGCATAGGTCAGGCCTTAGCCATCTCAGGAGTTGATTATACATCTCCATCAGGTGTGACACTATGCAGCTCGCTACACGTGACTGTCACCTCATCTACATGACTCATCTCCTCTGCATCTCCTGGCATCTCCACCTTTCTTCCCAGCATCCTCTGTGCCTGGAAATCCTGCCTAGCTAACTATTGACTGTTCAGGTTTTAACTAAACCAATCACAGTAATTTATAGTGTAATCAAATATCTTGCAACAATGAACCATAACCTGGAAGCCAAATAAACCCTTCCCAATTTGCTTTTGGTCATTTTTTTATGATAGCAAAGCTATCATAAAACACAGCTAGGACAAGGCAGTCTTTAGTTTTCTCTGCTCTAGACCCCAGAAGCAGTTTTCATTCCTGTTCTCCCGAAAGAGAAGAATTCAGACAGGATACAGCTGTAGAGCAAACAGCTAGGAGTTTCATGAACTCAGCTGAGGAGGCCACAATGCACTCTTTAGGAAAAGAGCCATCTGAGCCAAACAGCAATGGTGCTGGCCCTGGCAGACTCGGGGCTTATGTCTCTCTTTTGTCACCCTCTCCTCTGTGCCTCCTCCAGGGTGGAAACTTCCAGAAGACCAGTGTGCTCTTCCCGGAAGCCCATTTTATCCAAAAATCAGTCTGTTATAAGTAAACACATGATTCAAGAATATGTACAAGACTTAAGGCGTCCCTAAAATTGCAAAGTTCACTAGGGAGAACGGTAACTGCGGTCTGGGCTTGCTCTCCTGGTGAGGCAGTCCCTGGAGCTGGATTGAGCTGGACCAGAAAGAGCCCACCATCTTCAATTGTTCTTTGCAACTTGTCGGGGCCTTGAACCGGCCCAGCTGGAGACCACCACTGCCTGTCTCTACATTTCATTTCATCGGCTACCATTACCTACCTTTCTGGTCCAACTGAAGTAACCAGGGTGGGAGTTGGGGGACTGTTAGTCTTTTCTGACACTAAGCCCTGACTAAGCAACATATTCCCTTCTACGAACTGAGTCCTGAAATCCTTCAGGGAATACACTGTAAGGCTTTTGTCTCCCTAAGTACTGTTTATTCCTGTGGGGAGACTGGATAGATGCTTGGATATTATTAAATTCTTTTACAAGATTTTTCTTTGTCCTACAAAAGCCTGAGATGTTACATCCCAGCAATCTCTGAGCCACACAGGGGCTTCCAATGACCTTGGACAATCAACTCTCTCATGATAAAGGGAGGAGTTTAGCACAGAGCTAAACATCTTTATACGTTAATTCTGAGATTACAGCTTGGGAAACAAGCTGCATCAGCTCCCCCTGAGGAACTATGGGAGATAACAAGTGGTTACATTCTCCTGCCAGTCCAAGGGAAGAAGGAGAAAGGCTACAGTGGTATGGCTGAACCAGAGACTCACTAAGCGCAGGGATGGCAGGTTGAGCCCAGAGCTCTTAACCGCCTTATACTGTGCATGGGTTTGTTCAAATGAACGAGTTGCCACTACCTTCTGCACTGTGCATCAGGAATGGGGATGGATGAGGAAGAGGAAATAGTCTTCTCTCTTCTCAGAGTGATCTTCCCTTTCAGCAAGAAACAAGGAACATTGTAAGAGAGAGAGAACACTAGGCTTTAATGGGCTACCTTCAGACACTTTCAAATTTTAAATTGTCTAATGCTCTTTATTTCTTTTTTGTGGTTTTTTATTGATTTTTATTGATCTCAACATTTTTCTCTGCTCCCCTTCCTGCCTCTCTCCTCCCCCTCCAACCTTCTCCCAAGGTCCCCATACTTCCAATTTACTTGGGCGATCTTGCCTTTTTCTACTTCCCATGTAGATTAGATCTATGTAAGTCTCTCTTAGGGTCCTCATTGTTGTCTACGTTCTCTGGGATTGTGATTTGTAAGCTGGTTTTCTTTGCTTTATGTTTAAAAACCACCTATGAGTGAGTACATGTGATAATTGTCTTTCTGAGTCTGGGTTACCTCACTCAAAATGATGTTTTCTAGTTCTATCCATTTGCCTGCAAAATTCAAGATGTTGTTATTTTTTTCTGCTATGTAGTACTCCATTGTTTTTTTTATCCATTCTTCGGTCAAGGGCATTTAGGTTGTTTTCAGGTTCTGGCTATGACAAACAAAGCTGCTATGAACATAGCTGAGCACATGTCCTTGTGGCACAGTTGAGCATCCTTTGGATATATACCCAAAAGTGGTATTGCTGGGTCTTGAGGAAGGTTGTTTCCTAATTTTCGGAGAAATTGCCATAATGATATCCAGAGGGGCTGTACCAGCTTGCATTCCCACCAGCAATACAGGAGTGTTATGTTTAGTGTTTTGATTATTATGTGGCAAGGGGACTATTTTTTTTTTTAATCCAGTCTGGTATTCTGTAAGCTTCTTGTATCTTCATAGGCATATCTTTATTTAGTTTGGGAAAGTTTTCTTCTATGATTTTGTTAAGTATATTTTCTGTGCTTTTGAGTTGAACTTCGTCTCCTAACTGCTAACCACTTCTCAGTGACTGCCACAAACAGACATCAGTAGTAGGGGAGCCAAGAATCTCCCGAGTCCTGCACCTCCTCATCGTGGTCCTGGGGCGGCTTCAAGTCTTGGCCCCTTACCCTGGAGGTTAACTAACACCCTCTGTTCCTCATCAAGTCCTTGCTTTCCCAGATCCTCGAACGACTAAGCTAAGACTAATTTTACCATAGATTCCTTATTCTGTGAAGCTGATAGTGGCTCTCCTCCAACTGAAACTTCACAGGAAGTAAAAGGCCGCCGGCCACCGTGGTCCTTGTAAGGCTGGTCACTGGGTCCCTTCCCAGACCCTCTCTTATTCTCTTCCTTGTAAACATTCCTGAAAGAACTACTTGACACACGCTTTCTTTTGCCTTTGTGTAAATCTCTGGCAGCCCACCCACTATTTCCTGTCCCTCAGGATGGCTCAGTCACTCTTACGTGTAAGCTCTGTGCGCGCCTTGATTCTCTTGACCTCTATATCAAGAGGGTTCAGTCAAGGAGAATTTGCATAAACAATTGGGAGAGATAGTTAATGGTGGGAATTGTTTGCTTTTGTTGGAAGGTTGGAATACGAGGACCCTGATGAGAGTATTACTAACAGCTGGGGCAGCCACCTTGCTTCAGCTAAGGGAGCTAAAGAAACCAGACCAGGGCACAGAGAACATCTCTTCCTGAATCCCCAGGGAAGGGGCTCAGCCTTGAGCCCAGATCAACCCTGTGCTTGGAGCGGCCTCACATGCTGTCATTGAGTTGGTGTCCCTCCTCCACCCTCCGGTGTTTGTTCCTCTTGTATCAACCTACCCTTGACCAGACTTTGCCCTGCCTGGAACCCCATTTCCTGTTCTCTGCCATTGTCTTTGGTAGCCACTGATGGCATTGGTGTGCGTGGCGCCCCCTTGTGGTGCCTTGGATAAGGTGGTGCAAAGCTGGTTGGGGAAGGCTTATGCTGTGTGGCCTTGGACCTTGGCTGCCCTCACCACCCTCCTGGTCCAAAAGACAAAGGGATGCTGTGGACTCTGTGGGTGTGGCTCCACACTGTAGTCCCGGGGTACAGGGCTGTTCCTGTGGGTTGCTTCTGGCGATCCGAGGGACTTCCACCAGAGAGTCTCGGCCTCCCCGGCTGGCCACTAACTTTGCCACCACTTTGAACTCGAAGCTTTTCAGCACCATGAAGCTCCTGCTGCTGACCTTGGCAACCCTGCTGCTCCTGTCCCAGCTCATTCCAGGTAATGCAGATCTCCTCAGGGAAGGGGCCGGGCAGGGAGACCCTGGCCTTGTCAGCGAACACCCAGGGGCAAGGAGGACTAGCTGCCTAGGGTCTCGGAGGCATCACCATTCCCAGCCCCCTTGCCAGGTGCCGGATCTTAGGTACCAGCGACAACATCCTGAGTATCTATCTCATTCATCACCCACACCATGCTCACTCGGTTCTACCAGGCGGGGCAAAGGGCTAGTGTGGGGGCAGAAGCAGCCAAAGAGAAGGCAACAACTGATCTCTTGTAAAACAGTCCCCCGAATGTTCTAGGCTTAGTAAAAGCCGCTGCCATGGCCAGAAGCTTGTGTGTGCAGCTCCCCCCTCTCTGTGCCATACTTTGTGCCGGAGCCAGGATTATGGAGGAAAAGGGCATGGCTCTCAGACACAGCTAAACAGTATTGTTCCTGAAGCTATGACAAAGGGAAGCCAGGGAACTGGGTACAAGTGAGTAGGGCCTGAGGTCAGCAGAGTCCTGGGAAGTGACTTGAAATTAGGTGAGGAGGGGAAGAGGTGGGGAGGGAAAGGTGTGGGATAAGCAGAAGTAGCATCCCTGGGTGGGGGGAGCATGCGGCCTGTGGGGACCCAGTGCTAAGGCAGGGGTGAGTGATGGGAGCAGGAGAGGAAGCAGCCTGAAGTTGCCTAGAAGGCCAGGTGAGCATCATGGGAGAGTTTAGCTGGAGAAGGTCACCCCTATCCTTCCAACCCCCCCACACACACACACACATACACATGCACCAGCTACCTGCCCCCTCCATTCACTTGTCAGAGCTTCTGTTCACCCCAGGGCTGTCGAACTTTCCAGAATCAGAGCATACTATTTTTCTAAACAAGCTGACCTCAGTTTCCTCCTGTGACCCTGAAACACCCTTCATCTAAGGGAGAAAGAAAAGCCAAGTGCCCAAGTTGGCAAGTGGCTCACCGTTGTCTGCCTGTGACCCTGGCAGCCCTCAGCCCTCACCAGTGTTCAGAGGGCCGTTTGCGTGTTTCTCTAATGACCGTGATGACATTGTGTGTGTAGTCACAGCGGGTGAGATGCCTTGCGTGGAAACCTCGTACTTCGGTCGCCCTTGGCCTTCGTCTCCGATAGCTCACAGTCAGGTGATTTTGTGCAAACCCACCAGGCTTTACCTAGTCCTGGACTTTTCTTGGTAAATTTTGCTTCTTGAAAGTATGACCTTGCTACGACCTGAAACAACTCATTTAAGCTGACAACTAGCATCCTAACCATTGTTCCCCAGTGCCCCACAGGACAGAGATTCTACTCAGTTCCACTTCGTAACAGTCAAAGGGTCTCTGGATGAAAGGGTGCTGAAATGTACATCACTCCAAAGTGTATAAGACAGAGTCAGTGAGATGACTCATCGGGTCAAGGTACTTGCTGCCAAGATTGACAACGAGAGCTTCAGCGCCAAGCCCCTTGCGGTAGGAGAGGACTGGCTCCCGCAAGTTGTCCTCGGTGTGTGTGCCTGCGAGAGAGCAATAAATAAATAAGTGTAATTTTTAAATGTTTAAGGGCTAGAGGGATGCTTCCGTGAGGAAGAACACTTCATGTGCGAGCAAGGGGACCTGAGTTTGAATCCACAGCTCCCACATAAAGAGCCAGACGGGGCTGCACATAGCCCCAGTGCTAGGAGGTAGAGACAGACAGATCCAGGGACTAACTAGCCAGCCAGGCTAGCCAAAGGGGGAATTTACAACTCAGAGAGACCTCACATCAATGTCACGAGGTGGGAAGTGATAGAGAACACCCCACATCCTCCTCCAGCCTCTGCGTTCATGAAACACACGCATGCACGTGCGCGCGCACACAGACACAGACACACAGACACACACACACACACACACACACACACACGGTGGTTCATCTTGACATGCTTGAATTAAAAACTGAGGTCTCGAGGCAGCTCACAGCCATTTGCAGCTCCAGGTCCCGAGGTTCGACACCTCTTCTGGCCGCCGCAGCTGTTGTACAGATGTGGTACACACACATGCAGACAAAAACATTTACATACATAAAATAAAAACAAATCTTTTTTTTTAAAATGAGAGCTCAAATGCTGGGTTTTCCTTATCTTTGTTGTGAAACAAGGCAGAATCACGGATGCAGAAAGCAAACACGCTGCCCAGCAAATGCCACCAAGGACAGGTCCTTGTAGCACTACACAGCTCAGTCAGCTGAGCCCCCCAAGCCCTTCCTGCGCACCCCACCGCAGCTCCCTTCCTCCCCTAAGGGTCCTGACTTGTACAGCTACCAATTTCTTTTTTCATTTCTTCATGAAACACCAAGTTGACATCCCGAGACACCTTTTTGTTTGTTTTTGATTGTTGAGACCGGATCTCGCTGTGTAGCCCCGGCTTGCAGGCATCTATTTTTTAAAATATGCCTTTTAATAGTTCCCTGACCTTCATGGCTCTGTCTTTACGAGTTCTCCTGAAATAGCCAGTCACTGGCCGGTTTCCTCCCACAGTGAAGATTTGCCAATTGCACTCAGGGTAGAATTCACAGTATTCCTCTGTTGTGTAGCCCTGGAATTCACTCTGTAGCCCCAGGCTGCCCTCAGGTTCACAGAGAGCCGCCTGCCTCTGCCTCCTGAGGGCTGCCACCACACTATTCTTAGTGACCTCAAATTGTACCATCCTCAGTGGGGGCAGGGCTCTTTGATTCATGAACTTTATTCTAAATATCCTAGTAACTTGTGTGATGCCTATCCGTCTTTAAGAAGACCCTCCCCCCACAGCCCTGCAATCTCACCACACTACCCTGCTGCAAAGGACACTGCATCCCCAAGGGTCAGTGGGGTTGGCAACACCTTACCCAATGACAAACGTTCTTAACCTGTAGGTCTCGACTCCTTCTGGCCGCACATAGGCACATACATTATTTGTTATGGCAGGAGCAAAATCACAGTTATGAAGTAGCAATGGAACAATCGTGTGGAACAAGCATTTCATGTACAACGTGAAGAACTGTATAAAGGGTGCGGCTGCACTAGGGAGGTTGAGAAATGCTGGGCATGGAGGAAGAGAAGAAGGGTGTGGCTTAAACGTAGCATAAACGATGCTGGGGAGGCTCCCAAGCCAGGCTGGACCACAGGCAAAGAGCTGACATTCAGACCCAGGCTGACACACGCCTTGCAGCACTTGGGAGGTGAGGCAGTACAAGGTCAGCATCCCTCCCAACCCCCCAAAAAAATAAAATAGAGCGTGGGAAAAGGAGAAAGGGAGAGCGAGGGGGAGAATTTGTCTCATCTGCCCCTCGGCACCTCCTCAGCACCTGATGGATATCAACGCTGTTTGTCTGGGCTGGGAAACCTGATTCCTTGGGGGAACTATGGGATGTTCCATCCTCGGGAACAGGATTTCAGATACAAAGTGTCAGTGGGGTCTTTGTTTCAGAAAACCGGGTTTCTCAGCATTCTGACACTTCGTTCAACAAAAGGGTCTGGTGAGTTTATTCCCGTGTGACAGGAAGTTGTAGACTGTCCTTGTCCAGTCCCTGCATCTATCCTGAGTAGGCTCCAAGGTTGACATGAAGGTTGTGCCTTCTTGGTCTGCCTTCTGATGCTAAGTGGCCAATCCACAGAGGGTACAGGAACCTTAAAACAGTGGGCCTTCCCTCCCAGCCCTTACAGCTACACAGGCTACCAACCCACAATGCATTGTTCTCATGTCCCTTTAACTGACTGTCTTACAGCAGCTGCTTTTGCTGCCCGGGGAATCATATCCAGGGCCTCCTATGTCCTCAAGAGTGCTGTCCCTCTGGACAGCAGCTCCAGCCCTTACCAACTACTTTTCTTTTCATTAATTTCTTTCAATTAGAGTACAAAATAAAGGGTTTGTTCTGACATCGTCACACGTGTACATCGGTGCACTTGGCCTGTATTCACCCACTGTGTGAATACTTCCCGAGGAGGTGCAAACAAGGGGCTACTCGCTCCACATGGCACCTGCGACACACCAAAGTTAGATTCCATCCGAGCCCAGCTTAGGGGGCTGAGCAGTTTACTGGGCTTCCGTTATAGGAGCATTGGGGGGAGAACACAGGTGACCCCAAAACAGGTGCACTACCAGTGTCTCAGGCCTGCATGGATAATACATTCCTGTACCTGTATAGATGGAGTCCCTGCCCCATCTAGCCTTCCTGCTCAATCTCAGTGGCTCCTGAGCCAACACGCAGATGGCGCAGAATTATACATAGCTGGGAGAATATGCAGGCGGAAGTGAGAGTCCGGTTTCCTTCCCATTCCCTCCCTCTATGAGGGACTTTCAGTAGGCCCAGCCTGGAGGGTCTCCTGCAGGAAGTCATGGCTGCTCTGACTAAGCTGGCCATGGTAGGGCTGGAGAAAGACTCTGTGGTTAAGAGCACTTGCTACTCTTCCAAAGGGCCTGTGTTGGGTTCCCAGCACCCACATGGTAGCTCTCAATCTTTTGTTACTCCAGTTTCAGGGAATCCTACATCCTCTTCTGGCCTCCTTGAGTACTAAACAAATGTAGTTCACATATGTACGTTCAGGCAAAACTCTCATACACGTAGAATAAAACAAATGCATCGTATGTATGGTGATGGCACAGGTTCACAGTGACGTCACTTACACACACCTGATTTGCCAACGGTCAGTTCCTGGACGTCCCGGGACTCAGTCTGTTTATGCCGCCTGATAGATGGATTGCTGTGATTGGCAGGCCTGTCACATGCTGGCTCTTACTGTGGGGCACGGGTCCATGACCTGAAGAAGAGATCAGGGACATTTCCTGGGAAGATAAAAAGCCAAGCACCCTCTACGTAAGAGGAGAGTGGAGGGGGTCAGGATGCGGCTCTCCTCAGCTGTGATCCTACTGCAACAGCGAACCCCAAAGATTCTAATTTCCTCAGAAACCTCTGGGCTGAAGCCCTGGGGCCAGCAGTGGAGCCCGACTCCCCCAGAAGAGATCCCATGACCCCGCACCCACATCTTTTCATTGTTTTCTTCATCCTTATTGGTTGCCCCCTGGAGAATCCCACGCTGCTCTGACTGCTTATCTCAGAGCACTGGGGATGCCGAGATTCTTGTTTCGCCTTCTCTATGAAATTGTAACATCAAGACAGGAAAGGGAGAGAGGAGGCGTCTTTGCTGGCCCAGTTCAGCCAAACTGTAAATAAATCTGTTTTCCTTAAGGAAGAAAGTAGAGTAATAGCTGTATTTTCAGAGAGCGGCATTCCACAGCACACTCACCCCATATTCTCACATATACGTGCGCGCTCACACACACACACCGCTACCCTCCCTGACCCCACCCCTCCTGGTCTCCTTCCTACTCCCCAGATAATCCCCATCGGCTTCCATGGCTGCATGCATGTACACCAAAGGACAACTTTTGGGAGTCAGATCAGGAAGCAGGGTTCTGGCTACTTGTGATTGTATCACGCTTGAGATTTTCCAGACACTATTTCTTCCTCACACGCTCTTCTTGTCTCTCCCCTCTTATTCCTTTGGTGGTTCAAAACCACGGGCAAGTTGACCTGCTGTTAGCAGTCCACAGTCAGCAAGGCTTTAGTCTTTCTCTATTTCATTTTGAAAAGTTTGTTTTGTGTCTTCAAGTTCACTTATCTTTTTTAAAAAAAAAGACTTTTCTGATTTATTTAGTTAATATTTAGTTAGCCCAGGCTTGTGTAGCCCAGGCTGCCTTAGAACTCACTATAGAGCTGAGACTTGACTCCTAGTCTTCCCGTCTCACCTCCTGGGTGCTGGAATTATACCTGTGTACTGCACCGACTGGCCAAGTTTCTGTATTTATTTTTCTCTTTTGTATATTTTACTCTCACTATGTTTGTGCGCCATACGCATCCTTTGTGTCTGCAGAGACCTGAGGAGGCTGTTGGATCCCCTGGAATTGAAGTTACAGCTTGCTGTGAGCTTTCACATGGGTGCTGGGAACCGAACCTGGGTCCTCTGACAGAGCAGCAAGTGCTCTTAACCTCTGGTCCCTTAAACGCTACAGGCTTTATAAAGTCTTTGGCTTTGGTGGGTGAACACAAAGGGCATTCACTGTCCTGAGGACAGTTCCACCTGCCTCTCTTCGAGGATTCTTCCCCAGACTTCGATGGTTTCCTCACGTGTGTATTCAGATGAGCCTTCAAAGACAGGATGGTTCCTGCTGGAGACCTGCACAGTGTGGGCATGTGGATTTGTTTGTTTTGTTTCTCTCCTCTTTTCTCGCCCCTCTTGTCCCCATCTGAAGTTTTTAATGCTGATTAAAATAGCTGTTGTTACTCTTTTTAAATTTTTTATTAACATTCTCACTGGGGCACTTCCATGCATGGGTCTGACTGCAGCACTTCCATGCATGGGTCTGCATGGGTCTCAATGCGGCACTTCCATGCATGGGTCTGACTGCGGCACTTCCGTGAATGGGTCTGACTGCGGCACTTCTGTGAATGGGTCTGACTGCGGCACTTCCATGCATCAGTCTGCATGGGTCTGACTGCGGCACTTCCATGCATCGGTCTGCATGGGTCTCACTGCGGCACTTCCATGCATCGGTCTGCATGGGTCTCACTGCGGCACTTCCATGCATCGGTCTGCATGGGTCTCACTGCGGCACTTCCATGCATCTATATCATATTTTGAGTCTCTCCTTCCACTTTATGCGTCACTTTCCCCTCTGCCCTCTGGCTGCTCCCCTTCCTCCCCACACAGTCCTTCCTTCTGCTTTCGTGTCTATATTACTCTCTCTGTTCCACATTCCCATCTCTAGACATCTTCTCCTTTCACAGTCCCCTTTCTACCTTCATGGCATGCACGTGTGCATGTATACATTTGTGCATACATGCATGTGCACATTTAATACTTCCACAGCATGCATATGTACATGTTTACTTTTAATACTTTTATAGTGTGCATGTGTGCATATATACATTTAAGTCTGGATTCTATACATGAAAGAGGCAATGTTTCTGAGCTATATAACATCATAATTTCCAGCTCCATCTATTTTCCTAAAAAAAAATCATGATTTCATTCCACTTATAACTGAGTCCAATCCCCTGTGTGCTGGGAGCCGATTTGAGTGGCTGCCATTACAAGATGGCATTTGGCCCTGGCCTCGCTTGATAAATAACTCCATATTAAGGTTGCAGTTCTTCCACCAGAAAACAGGGTGAGTTGTTGTGACCTAGCTGCCCACACTCCCCCTGACCAGCAGGGGAACTTCCTTGTGGTCTATAATTGACAAGGATGTTCCCCTGCTTTCTTTCTGGCAGGTGGGTCTCCAGAAAAGCAGTAAAAGTATCAAAGTGTCAGAGGTTGCTAGGCAGACTCTCTATATAAGCAGCTACAGCTCAGCGCTCGGGGCCCCTTGCTTTCTGCTCTCCCTATAACCAAGAGGCTCCAATAAAGCGTGATTTGGGAAGAATCCTCGTCTGGTGGCTGTTCTTTCCTGCTGGTCATGGAGTTCGCCGCACCTGTGCACATGGACCTCGTTTGCTTTATTCATCTGTGGGCAGACATCTAGACTAAGTCCATATCTTGGCTATAGTGAATGGTGCAGCCATAGACACAGATGTGTGAGTATCTCTGATAGCACAGACTACTGTAAAGGCCCTGAGCATATTCAGGAACGTTACATGTGGGTTCTATGGCCATGCTAGTTTCAGCCTGCTGAGGAACCTCTACACTGATATCCATAGTGGCTGTGCAGGTTCTCCCTCCTACCAGCCGTGAGCAGGAGTTCCTCTTCTCTCACATTCCTGCAGGCATTTGTTGTCATTTCTTTCCTTGGTGACAGCTGGAAATGTTGCTCTCCTTCTGTGCTCTAAGGAAACACCCAGAGAGGGCAAGGCTGTTGCTGAGGGTGTAGGAGCTGGAACTCCGAGCCTCCCCTCCAAAGGCTTCCCTTTCCCTTCTCCATGTCTGGGCCTCAGTCAGACTTGTTGGAAGGAAACCCGTGATTCAAATGGACCTTAAAGATGTCATTCCTCTCAGGGACACCAAGGCATCTGTAGGTCAAAGCGGAACTGGCACTTCATGGAGAAATGGGTGTGGGCCTTTGTTGTGTCAGGCAGCAAGCGATGTCACCCCACACAGCCTGCGGTTGGACATCATTTCCATCTGTTCCCCTTCTTTGGGCCAACCAGTGTAGCTGTCTCCTCTTGTGACTATCAGAACTCTGTTTCTTTCTTAGTTTGTGGGGTTTTTTTTTTTTCGACAGAGTTTCATGTAACCCAGGCTGACTACAACAGTTCTTTAAAAGCAGATTTTCAAAGTTCCATCCTTTGTCATTTAGTCCAGATTCACAGTCAAAGAAGGTAGGGGGGAAATGGGGTCAGAAAAACAACAGTAGGTAGGAGGGGTCAAAGGGAAAGCGGAGGGTCTTCCCACCTGTGTCAGCTCCTCCAGTCCAGAGCCACCCTCTCCTTAGGACTTCCATGACCTCCTTTCACTCCTCTTTCTACCAGGTGATGCTCAGAGATGCTGGAACCTCCGTGGCAAGTGTCGCCATCGGTGCTCCAGGAAGGAGAGCGTCTACGTCTACTGCACAAATGGGAGGATGTGCTGTGTGAAGCCCAAGTACCAGCCGAAGCCAAAGCCGTGGATGTTTTAAGTACCCTGAAGACTGGAGAATGCAGTTCGCAAAGTTGTCCTAGGTTGAGCTCATGGGTTCTTGTGCTCAGTCAATAAATGCATCCTGCCACCCCTTTGTAGCCTGCTTACCTAGACTAGCGATTTTCAGGTTTGGGAAGTCAAAACTATAATAACCGCCATCATAATAAAAATGTGGCATCTCTGTCTCTCATGGGTGAATGGTGGAATGTTCTCGAATCCACTAGGCAGCTAACAGAGATGTGCTTGTGTGCATTTGTATTTCTAGAATTATCTAGGTAGAAAGCATAAGGTGCGATCATTTTCAGAGGTTGACTCAATCCTTTCTCAGTAATCCCACTGCCCTCATACAAATGACCTTTGATATTGTTAACCTCTGTGACTTCAAAATCATTAATTTGAAATTCTGAGACCTTCCTTGCATAAGACACAAGAGTACTCCATCACCTTGATATGCAGAAGTGTATTAACAAGCATTTCAGCTGTCTAATAGGAGAAACTAACAGCCATCAGCGGAGGGAAGATGTGTCTGTACAACCATCAGCAGAGGGAAGATGTGTCTGTCTGTACAGCCTTCTAAATGTTGTCTATTGCTGTGATGAGACACCTTGACCAAAAAGCAAGTTGGGGAAGAAAGGGTTTATTCCATTATACTTCCACATCACAGTTCATCCCCAAAGGAAGTCGGGACAAGAACTCAGGCAGCGAAGGGACCTAGAGGTAGGAGTTGATGCAGAGGCCATAGAGGGGTACTGCTTACTGGCTTGCTCAGCCTGTTTCTTATACATCCCAAGGCCACCAGTCCAGGGATGGCACCACCCACGATGGGCTGGGCTCTCCCCCGCTGATCACTAATTGAGAAAATGCACTACAGACAGATCTTACGAAAGCATTTTCTCAGTTGAGGTCCCAGAGGACTCTAGCTGTGTCAGGCTGACTAAGATGAACCAGCACAGGTGCCGTTTATAACACACGCACAACCTAAAAGTTATAAGATGTGGGGATACAGTTTAGTGGAAGAGTGACTCCCTAGCATAAGGCCCCCGGCACAGCATAAAAATTACATTGTGTGAATACCGACATTTATAAGACAGGCACAAAGGAAGGAAAAGTGATCCATAATAATAATAATAATAATATAAATAACTAAGCAGACTTCGATTTCAGGCACACTTTCCAGAAGTAGCAGACAACGTCAAAGGCACTACTGTAAGTATATTTAGGAAACGAGAATTAGATTGATAAGATGGGTGAAAGGACAGAGTCTAAACTAATGCACCGAACCAGGCACAGGGTGCACATCTGTATTCAGCAGCTGGGGAGTGTTAGCAGGAGGGTTGGGAGGTCAAGGCCAGCCTAGACTATACAGCAACCTATTTCAAAAACCAAATAGTTGAGAGTAGAGGCTCATGACTTCAATTCCAGCACTTGGGAGAGAGAAAGGGTGGAGGATCACCAAGAATTTGAGACCAGTCTGAGACAAGTCTGGGCTACAGAGTAAGACCTTTCCTTAATAATAATAATAATCATAATAATTAATAATAATCTAACATGTTTTAAAGGGGCCACTCATTTAGTATAATAAAATAGCCACTGCGTGCAGTTACTCATAGTGGAGCAGTTCTTCTGGTATTCCCACGTTGAGTCTCCCACGTGACTGCATCCTCTTCCTTTGCCTCTTCCCACAGTGGCTGGGTCCAAGAGAGTATGCCCCAATAGATTGCATTTATCAGGCTTCTGCTGCATCTGCTAAAGTCCTGTTGGCCCCAGCAAGGCCGATGATCCAAGATCGTTGTGGGAAAGGACCACAGGACATGAATAGCGGGAGCTATGATTCCCTGAGAATTGCCATGTACCAATACATGTATCCTCCTCAAATGGAACTCCTAAAGATAAACGAGACATTCTAGACCAGATCACAGTGTCTGCAATACAGGGCTGCCGTAGACATGCTTAAGAGCACACACGGGATGTGCAACAGGAGGGTCAGGGACAGATCAACAGGAAGCAAGCGAGTCAGGCACGGGGAGAAAGGGAGTGGAAGTTAACATAACCGAGCAAGCGCACACTTGAGCGCAGTCCCGGAAGATGTGACAGGGAAAGAAAGATGTTTTGAAAAGATGATAACTGAAAGGAAGACGTCAACCTAGGGACTGATCTGGAAGTTCAGTGGACTACAAAGCGGCAAGACCGTGAAAACCCAACACAAGCTTAGCACAGTGAAACACAAGCTTCAGACTGTCTCAGACCATCTAGAGCCATCCCCTGAGACACCAGAGGGTGACCTCTGACCTCCACAGGCATGTACACACCTGTGCTCGCGCACACACACACACACAAACACAGAAAATGAAAATAAAAGTAGCAATCAATTCCCATGTCCCGTGCAGCTTGGTCCTGGACCCTGACTACGGTGTGAAGGGATCGAAGAAGGAGCAGACACACAGACAGAAAAGCTGGGGTCAAGCGAGGCGTGTGCTCTAATGGAACTACAACTACCATTGTGCTTGGGGTACGCACAGGGGGAGGGGCTTGCTAGTAAGGTCTCTGCAGGCCAGCAGGCTCAGGCTGTAAACATCCAGCCAAAGGGAGCTGCAGTTGCTAGTTTTTGCACACACTGATCAATTGTAAACACTTGCACTTGGACCAGAGGAAGCAGGCTTTGCCAATTCTGAGCCGCGCCAATATGGGGAAAGGCTTTGCCAGTTTCCCATGGGTCTGAAGCCTCGGTCCTTGGTATAGCTGTGTCCATGCCGACAACGTGTGTTCACTCAGGACTTCACCCACTCAGGGCTTCCCAGGATCCCTACAGTCAACAGCAAGAGACATCATCCTACACATGAGAAGGGATCAGTGCACTCTTCGATGGTCAGTTGGTCATTGAAGAAATCAAGGAAGAACAAGTTTTAACCCTAGAGTCAAATGAAAATGTACCTTAGCAGAGCCTTTGTAAGACAGTTAAGGTAGTTCTAAGAGAGATGGTCATCATTTAGAGAGCCTATATTCACAAATCAGAGTGGTTCCGAAGGAATAACCTAACGATGTGCGGCAGGGTCTAAGAAACACGAGAATCAGCCAAACTCAAAATTGACAGAAGAAATTATAAAGAAACTAAAAGAACAAGACAAAAAATTAATTCAGACACAGAGTTGGTTCTTTGAAAAGATAAACAAAAGGGCTGGGGAAGGGTTCATTTGCTACACAAGTGTGAGAACCTGAGTTCAAATCCCGAGAACCCATGTAAATGCTGAATGCATAGCTTTGGCCTCCATACCCCCAGCACTCCTGCAGAGAGATGGGAGGCAGACGGGAACCCCAGAAACTGGGGGCCACCTCCTCTAGTGTATGCAGTAGTCCTACAGAAATGGGAGGCAGACGGGAACCCCAGAAACTGGGGGCCACCTCCTCTAGTGTATGCAGTAGAAAAACAACAGATATCCTGTCTCAAAAGAGGTGAAAGGTAAAACTCATGAAGTTGCCCTCTGACCTCTACACACACACCATGGTGTTTACAGACACAAACATGCACACACATAAAAAGAAAAGATAAACAAGGTTGACAGACTGCCAATTTAGCCAAGAGAGAGAAAGAGGAGGCTCTGATTAGAAGGCCATTGAGATGCCTCGGCAGGTGGAGACAGTTGCCGTAGAAACAGGGTGACCTGAGTTTAATCCAGGAACCCACGTGAAGGTTAAAGGAGACATTGTCCTGCGACCTCCACAAACATGCCATGGCTCATCTTGAACACACAATAATAAGTAAATTATTTTATTAAAAATATAATTGAAGATTAAAACAGAGACATTATAGCAGATACCGGTGAAATCTGGAGGGTCTTTAAGAGATAGTGTTAGGTGCCAGGAAGATGGTTTAGAAGCTAAGGACACTTGTTGCCAAGTTTGATGACCTGAGTTCAATCCTCAGACCCTACATGGTTCTGGAAAGAGAACCAACTTCCTAAAGTTGTCCTCTGACTCCACATCCTGACAATCATGCCATAGGCATGCATGCGTGCAAGCACACACGTGCGCACACACACGGAGGGAGGGGGTGAAATGTTTCAATTTAGAAATTTTATATATCAATAAATTTTAAAGCCGGGACAAAATAAATTTCTAAACACATATTATCTGTAAAAAATTAAGTCAAAGCCAGGTGGTGGTAGCACACACCTTTAATCCCAGCACTCAGGAGGCAGAGGCAGGAGAATCTCTGTCAGTTCGAGGCCAGCCTGATCTACAAGAGCTAGTTCCAGGACAGGCTTCAAAGCTACAGAGAAACAAAAAAAAATTAATTCAAGAGATACAAACAATCTAAACTGATTTGGAAGAAGCAATGAGGGCCGAGGCGATGTCTCAATGGTGAGCACTTGCCTAGCGTACACAGCTCTGGATATCCTATCTCCAGGGCCACAGGGAAGGAAAGGAGGAAGAGGAGGAGGAAGAGGAAGCAGCAGCGAGAGCTAGAGAGATGGGTCAGTGGTTAAGCCCACGTGCTAGAGGACCCAGGTTCTGTTTCCAGCCCCCACATGGCAGCTCATATCTGTCTGTAACTCCAACTCCAGAGGTTTGACACCCTCTTCTAACCTCTGCAGGAACTGGACACACATGGGGGAAACACTCAGGTTCATCAAATGAAATAAATAAAAAGGTTTTAAGCAATGAGTAGTAGTGACGAAGAATCTCCCGGGGGCTGGAGAAACGGCTCAGTAATGAAGAACACTGGCTGCTCTTGCAAAGGGCCCGAGTTGGGTTCCCTACAGCCTACAGTGGTCTGTAATGCCAGTTCAGGAAATCCAGTGCCACTTTTATAGCCTCTGTGGGTGCCGATATTCATGCAGTGCATAGACATTCATGCACGCAAACACCCAAACATATAAATAACAAAAATTAATAAACATTTTAAAAAGAATCTCCCAGAACAAAGGATAATGGTCCTGTAGTAGTTTTGTAGTAGGAAAAACAGTAATTTTGTTCTAGGAAAATTCAGTTGTCAAGAAATACTTGCGTTTGAATTCCTCACCTACAAGTCTAGGAAATAAACCATTATTTGATTCTCCTGGACACACATTGCATGCCTCCTTGCATTCAAAATGTGCCTAGTAGATTCCGCAAACAACCACAAGAGGGCAGTATCTTCCCATGAGACTCAATCTGGCCATTGCATGAAGTCTAAAACAGCCTCTCA